CTTAGGCGCTGTGATGGCTCTCTTAGCCCTTTGTTGGGGGCATCGGCACACTGAAGAGACTTACCTAATGACCATAGAGATGTTAACTCACACATAGAAGCAGGCAGGAAACGGCTACTGAGGGGCTAAAGATGCCCAAGATGATTTGGCTCTGGACCTGCAACATTCTGAATTCTCCACCATCGTTGAAGTTCTAATAAGTTAGTCAGCCATGAAGGTTCCATAGGGGCAGCTTCTTCCTGAGAACTTTTCTTCAGTACAAATAAGGTAAAAGCAACTAGGTATTTTTCTGAAAGGCTTGAGGGATAAGCTGTCTGTGTGAATGACCCTAAGGAGTTCAATCCTCAAAGGAAAATAAAAAAATTTCTTAAGTAAATGATTTTTAAAAAAAATTTTATATGTGGCCGGGTGGTAGTGGCGCACGCCTTTAATCCCAGCACTTGGGAGGCAGAGGCAGGTGGATCTCTGTGAGTTCAAGGCCGGGCTGGACTGACAGCCTCCAAAACAATACAGAGAAACCCTGTCTTGTAAAACCAAAAAAATTTTTTTATGTATGCTTCCCCTGCATATTTATCTGTGTACCACATACATGCCTGGTGCCTGCAGAGGCTAGAGAGGATGTCAGATCCCCTGGAATTGGAGTCACAAACTATTGTTAGCTGCCATGTGGGTTCTGGGAATAGAACCCAGGTCCTTTGCGAGATTAGTTGGTGCTCTTAACTACTGAGGCATCTCTCTAGTTTGAAGGTAATAAGTCTTAAGGTAGGCATGGTAGTGCATGTCTCTAATCCTGTACTCAAAATGCTGGGGCAAGGGGGTTTGAGTTTGAGGGCATGGGATACAATAATAAATCTTGGTTAAATAACTGAGAGAGAAAGAACATAGTTACTATAGTTTAAATTGACAAAAGGCCTTGCAGTTAGGAAAGGATTGAGAAATGCCCTAGATGTACAGAGATGCTTTAAAAAAGAAGAAAACAAACAAAAACCTGATCAAGAACAAAAATTTTGAAGAGGCAAAAAGTAGAGAAATCAGGGAAACTGCCAAAATTAAAGTGCCTGGATCTCATTGTGTTGATTGTTCCATGAAAGCATTTGTTATTAAGCAAAATCCAGTTTGTGCCAAATACTGGATGAGGCTGTCAAGTGCCAGGTACTCACTGACTGTCAGTGTGGTAAGTTTAAACCCCAGAACTTGACAGAAATTAGTACTGAACAAAATAGCAAGAGAAATAAGGTGTGTGTGTGTGTGTGTGTGTGTGTGTGTGTGTGTGTGTGTGAGTGAGTGAGATCTCTTTTATAACTATGGTGAAGTGACTGGAAGTTCAGTCTATGATTTTTACCAAAAGGGCATTGGATTTGAACCAGGCATGACAGTTCTTATGTATGACCCTTAGCACTCAGGAGATGAAAGCAGTAAGATTGTGAGTTCAAGACCAGCCTGGGAGATATGGCATGATCTATTTCAGTCAGGCCAAGCACACACACACACAAAAACTAACAAGATTTAACAAGGGTGATTTGTTAGATTGCAAATGTTTCTAAGACTGTTTATGTCCTTTCAGAGTTGTGGACAGGAAAAAATATATCTGTAATCACGACTAGTAGGTTTTGTCTCTCCCAGCCCTTTATCTCTGCCTCCCCCTTCTTGAGTAAAGACCAGAGGTTTTATTTAGCTCACTATTCTGGGGGATGGGAGGTCCAAGAGTGTAATGATGCCTTCTGGTGTCATTTCTCAGTGTGTCTTAATATAGCAGAGGCATCACATGGTGACAGAGCGTGGTTAACTTTTTGATTAAAAATAACTCCTTAACTCTTTGCTACTTGATACCTTTTAGACATCTTGATTTCCACATTTTGATGATATTTCGGCCTTTTTGGCTTGAGCATCAGAATGCCATCTGCTTGTTCAGAATCCTAGAGGGCTGGAACCTGGTTGTGTTGGTTGGTTTAATGTCAACTTGATACAAGCTAGAGTCATTTAGGGAAGAGGACTCTTGGTTGAGCATATGCCCTCTGCATTGACCTGTAGCACATCTGTCAGGCATGTTCTTGGTAAATGCTGTGGGAGGGTCCATCCCACTGCAGGTGGGCAGTGCCACTCCTAGGCAGATGGTTCTGGATTGTATGTGAAAGCAGGTTGAGCAGGCCATGGGGAGCAAGCAGTAAGCATCTCCCTCCACGGCCTCTGCGTCAGCTCCTGCTCTGACTTTGATGATGGACTTCGATGTGGAACTGTGAGTTGAAATAAACCCTTTCCTCTCCAAGTTGGTTTTGGTCATAATGTTTTATCACAGGAATAGAAACCCTACCTAAGACTGACCTAGTCCCCTTCTTAACACTGGTTCCTTCAAGCCCAATCATTACTCACTACTGTGAAATTACACTTGTGCTTTCACTGAAGTTTGGTCAGAGGAGAAAAAAAGGCTTTTCAATGTTTTAAAAATGGGGAAATGGAAGGTTTTATTCTTTCAGAAATCTAGTGGGGAGCTGGGAGTGGTGGTGTACTATAGTCTCAGCCCTTGGAGGTGGCGTTCAAGGTGAGGGTGTCTATTCTCTGCCATTTTGGTACCCACTATACTTTAGATATACAATTATGGTAACATCAAAACTACATAGTGGGACCTATTTTAGTACTGAAAAAATATTCTCAGCTATATGATACAATGGTGTCATATAGCCACCTGGATTGTGACCATTTTCAAGCACATTTCTTGCTGCTGTGTCCATGGACAACTTTTACTGAAGCTGAAAGCTGCTGTTCCAAAGTCAGGTTCAGTATCATTGTTCAGGAGCTGTCCGTGCTTTTGAGACCGCTTACCCTGCTCAGCGCACACCACCGCCACACCAGTGCTTTTTATGTGGGTGAAGGGTCTAACCCGGGTCCTCATGTTTGTATGTCCTTTTGCCAATCGGGCGTCCACTCTCAAGTCCCACCCTGTTCTCACATTATGCATCCTTGGAGCCCTTGGCTTGTGCGTGGATTCTCTGATATACACTACCAAGTTTGGTGTGATAGTTCTTGTCAACCTGACATAAACTGGAGTTGCCTGGGAAGAAGGACCTCAGTTGAGGTAATTGCTTTCTTCAGATTGGCCTGCAGGCATGTCTGTTAATGATTGATGTGGGAGGGCCCAGTCCACTGTGGGACACCCCATACCTCACAGGTGGACTTGGACTGAATAAATAACTAAGCAAGCTAGAGGAGAGCAAGCAGTAAGCAGCATTCAGCCGTCCCCAGCTCTGGGCCTGCCTCCAGGTTCATGCTTGACCTCCTGCTTAGCTCCCCTTAGTACAGGAAACTTAGTACAGGCTTATAACAACAAATCAAGAAGAGTCTGGTGAAAGTGAAGCATAGAGTCACAGAAAGGGCCGCCACAGAGAAAGGCAAAAGTGGCTGGTGTGCCGGGTGCAGGACAGTGTTGTAGAGTCCCTGACTTTCCCATCCGCTGGTACTTTAGAGCCCCGCAATCTCACATGCTTCTAGCATAGCCCCTTTCTCCATCCTATGGGTTCAGGTCACAAAGCCTTAGCTAGTGAAGACTTCGGGGCTCAGCCACGTAGCAGACTGCCCACAGCTTCCCAGCTCCGAGTGGCTAAGACAGGCAGACGGTACGGAGGGGCGAGAAGGCCCAGTGCCTTCTGACGAGCTTTAAATGCACCTCACACTGGAAAGGGACCGGCATGATTTATTTTTCACACTGGTGTTTCCTGGAGTGTAAGCTAAACGAACCCTCTCCTCCCCAGGTTGCTTTGTTCATGCTGTTCATCACAGCAACAGAGAAGCACACTAGGTCAGTTTTTCTAGAAGCATGTCAGGAGGGCCTAGAGAAATCAGAAGATGTGAAGCAGCGATGCCCACGGCCTCTGTTTGTTTCTCATCTCTGCTGTGCTGCCCCACTGGCACGGGAGGGCAGTCGGTGGGAACATTCTGTCCACTCTGAGCTCTAGGCTGGCTCTGTCTGTGCTCCTTGAATGTGTTAAGCTCTTCCCAGCGAAACTGTCTGCATGTAAAAGAGGGATAGTTTTGTACTTCCAGAGTCTTAAGCTCAGCTGTGGAGCAGCCCATGTAAAGTGATAATAGTGATGACTGGAGCCTGGTGAACTATATTGTACGCATAAACTTTCTTCTGATTATTCATGCAGGGTTTTCCAGGACTGAAGACAGCTTTCAGGGATTCTTTCTTTCCTTTTACAATGGGGGCCTGGGCCTGGAACTTGGGTTCCCAGCTTTGGTATAAGAACCTGTACTCATTGACCTGTTTCTCTATCTCTTTATTTTAGTTTGGAGACAGGCTCTCAGTATATAGCTCAGGCTGGCCTTAAACTGTCAATTCTCCAGCCTCCATTTCCTGGAATTATGAATATACCCGCCATACCCAGCCACTTACCAGCTTTAATTATTTCTCTCCCCATTTTTGCACCCTCTCTATTTTACATATATGACCATGGCATCCTCTAAAATATTTCATTTATACTTTTTGTTTAAATGTCCTTCTCTCTAGAACCTAAGAGGAAGAATCATGCCTTATTCATTGTGTAAATCTCCGTATAGCATAATACTTACTAAATGGAAGGCAACATTGGGAGTTTGGTTGAATGAACTACCCTAACCTTAAGATGTTTGGTAGCTCAAAATAGATATTCTGAACCTTCACACATGAGTGCTCACATATAATCTATAGTATTATAAAGTGTAATGACTTCTTTAAAAAATAACCAGGACTTGATGAGTAAATGTGAGCTAGCAGTATTGACCCGCACACAAGATCTCTAAACCTAATAATATCTAGGCCAAAGGTATATAAACATATAAGTTCTGACTAAAGAATGTGGAGGCTGGGAAGAAAAATTGCTGTATAAAATGGTTACATTCTCGTTCCCTAATGAGAACAGAAAGAAAATACAAGAGGCTCTCAGGAAAGTTGATTCTATGTGATCAAGAGGAAGGGGAGGGTAAATGTCCTCAAAGCAGTGTTGACATAAAGTTCTCTTTCCTAGGTGCTCTCCTTTTTCTTCATTGGTCTGATGTCCATGATGATTCCGCTGTGCAGCGCCTTCGGGGGGCTCATTGCTGTCTGCCTCATCATGGGTCTCTTCGATGGATGCTTCATTTCTATCATGGCTCCCATTGCCTTTGAACTAGTCGGTCCTCAGGATGCTTCCCAAGCAATTGGATTTCTGCTTGGATTCATGTCTATACCCATGACTGTAGGTCCTCCAGTTGCAGGTAAATAAAGCAATTCCAAAGTGATCATACTAATTCACAGCATTTTCTACTTTGGGTCCTAAACTTCATTTATTTGCGAAACATTTTTAACATGTTAATAGTACTTGTGTGCTTTCCCTCTCCAATTTTTAATAAGATTATATGTTGAAAGTAGATTGAAAAAGTTTATTGGGGAGCATTCTGAAAGTGTGTGTGTGTGTGTGTGTGTGTGTGTGTGTGTGTGTGTATTAAGCCAGGGCCTTGTACACGTTAAGCAATCACTTACCACTGAGCTACATTGAACTTGGGCATAAGATATACTAAATATATACCCTTCCACTGAGCTATGCATTCAGCCTCTACTTTTTCAGTTCTTTTAGTATATGTTACACAAATGGTAACATAAAAATGAAGATTTTTATAGATTTCTAAGCATATATTACTTTTACATAAGAAGCATAGTCCTGAGAAATGGTTGAAAAAATTACATTTAGTGGAAAGAACATGGCTGTCAATGAATATAAAAACAATGTGACTTGGCATGGTGGTACACACCTGTAATCTCAATACTCAGGAGGCTGAGGCAGGAGGAGATCTACAAGTTCAAGATCAGCCTGGTCTACATAGTTTCAGCAGGGGCTGTATAATGAGACTTGACTCCAGTCAGTCAATAACCAAAGAGTAAACAAAAACAAAAATACATTATCCATGTGATGGACAGGGATGAATATTATTCAGTCATAAAAGTAATGAGATAGTGACACTTATACATGAGAGTGACACTGATAATATTATAGGAACACTGATATATGTTAGGGACACTGATACATGCTACCAGGTGAACAGACACCACACACATTATGCTAAGTGACCAAAGTCAAATATAAAAGATCACGTATTGTATGATTCTGTTTGTATGAAATAGCTGACACAGAAAAAAAGGCACAGAAAACAGATTAGTGGTTGCCAGAGCCTGGAGGGAAGAACTGGAGTGGGGCCACTCAGTAGGAATGGTGTTTCTTTCTGGCATGATGAAATGTTTGAAAGTAAATATAGCCATATAAAGGTCACAGAGCACCGTGAGTTCAGCCAAGTGCCACTCTATTGTTCACTTTTAAATGACTACCTCTATGTTGAGTGAATTCTACCTTTAGAAGCTTTATAGATGATGGTGTGATGTCTTCCTTGGACACCAGTGTGAGAATATCAGTTTTCAATACAATTAGGATAAAATTTCCATTATATAGAGTCACCTGTATTTGATATAAGTAGCTCAGTGAAAATTCAGCTTAATTCATTCTTACATCTGGAACCACATTGCTGGTCCAGAATCAAGAATTCAGGGCTACCAGGGAGCAGAAGAAACAGAGTTTAAGCTCGAATGTTGATGATCCCTGTAGAAGCCTCCATTCCTTCCTCTCTTCTCAGTAATACATTCATTGTTCACTTAGCTTTGTTTGGGAGGTTCCAGATATACAGGCAACTGTCAAAAGCATTTTAGTGGGAACAGTGTTGCTTTAGTAGGAATAGTAACTACTCACAGAGCAAGAGCAAGGGATGGGGTAGCAGGAAATTACTAGAATAGGAGGAATAATACACAGAGTGACTGCCAGGAGAATTACCACCCCCATTTCCTCAGGGGTTCAGAGGTCATTACAGTATTCCAGGAAAGCCTAATTATTAGTATCCATGGGATGAAATATGAGACATTTGGATTCTGAAGACAGGAATATTGCATATTTAGAGATGCTGTGTATTTTATGTTTAGATTCAAAATAACTGTACATATTCATTTATATGTACATATGTTTGTATGTCACTGGAGACATCCTTAGCTGTGCATTAAATGAAGTTCGATAGATGTTCAGTTCAATATGTTCCCTGGATATTTTAGATAATTTGACATTGCACAGTAAGAGTTCAAACACACACACACACACACACACACACACACACACACACACACACACACACGGAGTCCTGGATTTTCGGAAATTTAGAAGTAAAATAATATTTTCCAGAAGCAGAACCTAAGGATCATCAAATGCCAAACATACACTTTAGGGCTTCTGTTTATTTTGAGACTGGGTCTCTCCATGTAGCCTAGAACTCTCTGTAGTTTAGGCTGGCTTCAAACTCAGAGGTCCATATGCCTCTGCCTTTCAAGTGCTGAGGTGAAGTCATATACCGCTAGACCTGGCCAAACACACATTTTTATACTTTCTTCCCAAGGATGGGCAAGACTTAGTATCTTTCTCAGATGTATTTAAAATCTCTCTTTTGTCTCAGAGCCCACATGGTAGACAACTGTCTCTATCAGGTTCCTCCTTACGTGCCAGGCAGGCAATTGGAGCACAGACAAACATTTAGACAAAAACACATATACATAGTTTCTTTTTTCTGAGACAGGGTCTCTCTGTGTAGTCCTGGCTGCCTTCAGAGATCTGCCTACCTCTCTCTGCCTTCTGAGTGCTGGGAATAAAGGTATGTGCCACCACTGCCCAGCAGGCACACATGAGCACGCACACATGAGCACACACACATGAGCACACACACATGAGCACACACACATGAGCACACACACATGAGCACACACACATGAGCACACACACATGAGCACACACACACACACACACACACACACACACAATTTATGAGTCTCTTTGTTTTCTTTTTATCCCAGCTCTTGGATTTGTAACTTTTCATGTTATTGTATTACAGTTTAAGGTAGTTTCTTGTTAAAGTCAAATAAGGTATAGATATTTTAGAGACAATGGATCTGGATGTTCCCATCTACCTTCAGCTGAGACAAGGTGGCCTCTGAGGGGCTTTGGGAATGCCAAAGCTTAGCTGCAGACACTTTCCACATGTGATATTTTGGTATGACCTGTATTCTGTGGTAAGATTTTAGATAGATACTTTGTTTCCTTCCTCATAGCAGCAAAAGGTTTACATTTCAAATCTGTTATCTGAGCTGGACCTCTCAGTGTGACTGAGTTGGGAGCCAGACTGGTCCTTTCCGTGTGACAGCTGTTGTCTCCCTTTCCAGGGTTACTTCATGACAAGCTGGGCTCCTATGATGTGGCCTTTTACCTTGCTGGCATCCCTCCCTTTGTTGGCGGTGCTGTGCTTTGTTTAATCCCGTGGATCCACAGTAAGAAGCAGAGAGAGACCAGTAAGAGCACTGGAGGGGAGAAGACGGAGAAGATGCTGGAGAACCAGAACTCTCTACTCTCCAGCTCCTCTGGGATCTTCAAAAAACAATCTGACTCTGTTATTTAATGCCATGCATACCTCCACCTGACTGGATTTGCTTTTGAAGTTTCCCTTTTATATGAATTGCAAATTTCTTATTTTTTTAATCATCCTTGGAACAGCACAAATGGAAAATGGAATCTTTATTACTACCAGAACCATTTTCTCTCCCCAGATAGCTTTGGTATTTCCAGGAATCAGAGGGAAGAGACTGTTACAGGCAAACGTATCTGGAAATCAAATTTGAACATTCAAAGCTATCCAAGTAACAAGCAGCCATGGAAGCCATGGATGCTGTGTAGCTGGCACAGACACATACAGTGTACCTGAAGTATTTTGTTGGTTGCTCCATTTGGTGTTTTTAGTTCCAGTGTTTTAGTTTCTCCTGCATTTGGGGACTTTTTGCGAAATTTAAGCCTGGATCCTAGATAATAGCAGGCCAATGTAAACCTCAAGTCTGTTAAGTGATTTAAGCTATAAAACTGGGAGATTCTGACATGCTCCAGTATCAAGGGACCTGCTGGGAGCAGTAGCTCATAGACAGACACCCAGGATGGAGATGAAGGCTCCTCTCACAGGCAGCCGTCGGGCATTTCCTCCACTAACCTTTCTTCCCTTTGGTCTGTAGTGTGTTTTACTCCAATAGCCAGAAACACCCCAAATTTCTGATTTTTGTGTAAACAATAAAGTAAAACAGAATGTGTAAAAGATATCCTGACAATTTTAACAGAAATTTTCTGACTTGTGGATTTATTAGCACTGTATTGTAAGTGTCTTATTGAGCATGTTATCAGCTGGCATAATGGACACAGATTAGAAGTAGTACAGGACTGTTTTATCCACTGGGAAAACATTTGATAGAAATAATTGTTTAAATTGACTTGTGAAATTCATTGTTCTAGCAGGTTAAATATACTTATAAAAAGAAACAATTCCTAAATTTTCAAAAAAATTTTAACAGAAATTTGCATTTGTGTGATATAGTCATATGCTGGTGACATGGTCACATTGAGAAACCTGATGGCCTGTGCTTTTATTGTGTAGACATTGCAGGATTGACATGCACCAACTGAGGAAATGCCATTGTAATCAACCGATAGGGTCTCGTTGGCACAGTTCTTTGACTAGAAATCAATGTGGTATTTATCTGCCATGTGCTCCTTATTAATCCCCCCCTGCCCGATTTATGTCTAGACTGTAGAAAGCAAGGTATTAGCTCCAAGGATCTAAAATTAAAACCAAAGTTGGGTCATGACCCATTACTCATTTATAGAAAAAGGAACACATTCCTATATCTTTGAAATTATATTTTAGGCCTTTAAAGGTTAAAATGTGAAGTGTATTTAAATCGTTAACTTAGATGAATATTAAATCATAGTTGAATGTAGCTTTATTGTTTGTGTGAAAGCAGTGTGTCTTTCCCTAAGCACTTCCAAGATCCTTCTAAGTTATCTGGAAGGTGAGAAACAATTTTACTGTCTCACTACCTGGCTTTCCCTCTTATGTTGCTTGAAAAGGCAGTCCTTCCTCTCTCAATCTAGTTGGGTATGGGGCTACCTGGAGAGAACACAAACTTGTCTTGGTAGGAGGGAGGGCAGAGGGCGGAGGGCGGAGGGCGGAGGGAAGTGTGGCCATAACCTGAAAGCTGGGAAATCCAGTGATGTTTCCTCCTAATAGCAACTTTCTCACTGTCACTGTGTAAGATAACAGCCTACATGCTAAGTATGTAGTTTATTTCATGGCGGTTTGAATAACTGTAATTTATTTATTATTTATTTATTATGTCATGGAGTCTAAGTAGACCAGGCTGGCCTTCAGTTCTATTCTGTTGTCTCAGACCTGTCAGGGGTCACAGGGGTGTCTTGCCATGTGCGGCAATACTTTTGATTTTGAAGTTATAAGCTTACTATGTTATATATACAGTTGTTGTTTTTTTAAAGCCTGGGTTTCACTAAGGAGCCTAATTGGGCCTGGAACTCACTATGTAGCCGGGCTCGGACTCACAGATCTCCTTTAGGTTTCTGGAAACAGTCTTGCTGTGTGGCCCCTCCTGCTTCAGCTTCCTAAGTGGGGGAATCAGGTGTGTGCTGCTGTGCCCAGCTTCAACTTACTACTACTACAGTGGCTTTTTTGTTTTGAATTGAAGGGTCTTTGGCAATTTGTTTGCAAAAGGTTCTCTTTCCGGAGGGAAAAATATAACTGTTGTTTTTTTGAGACAAGGTTTCTTTGTGTAGCTTTGGATGTCCTGGAACTCACTATGTCGACCAGGCTATCTTCATGTTCTTATAGTAAGTATTTAGAAATAACTTAAACATGATGATATAGTACATTACCAAGCCTTTTAGTTATTCTTCCTCAGTTGCCTGAAATACTTCATCATTATTAGGACTTTTAAAAGCTAAGGTGCTGGACAGTTGACTCACATTTAAAAGCATTTATGGCTCTTAGAGAGAACCTGAGTGCAGTTCCCAGCAAGCACACACTGGTTCACAACTGCCTGCAACTCCAATTCCAGGAGATCTACTGATCTTTTCTGAGCTCCTGCATGCACATGGTGCACATAGGTACACTCAGGCATATATACACACAGTTAAAAAGAAATTAGTTAAAAGTTAATAAAAACATACAACTAAGGTAATTAAACCTGCTATCATAAAACATTAGGGCAGGATTTGGGCTTTTCAAAGAAACTTATGTAAGGGTGGCATTCTAACTAAGCTATACCCTTACCACAGGGCTTAATACAGACATAAATCTGTCTCTAATTTTGCAGAAAGTGTAGCTCTAAAATGGAGAGCTTACACTGTGAAACTTTGAAAAATGTTTGCCTTTCAAACTTGGTTGCAGTTTTTTTTTTAAACAGGGTCTCACTATATAGATCAGGGTGGCCTAGAGCTTATTGTCCTCCTGTCTGTCTGTCTCCTTGGGTGGTTTCATTGTTGTTGCTTGTTTGATTCTTGGTTTTTTGTTTTTGATTTTTGGAGACAGTATTTCTGTATGCTGTCCTAGAACTCACTTTGCAGAGCAGGCTGGCCTTGAACTCACTGAGATCACCTGCCTGTGGCTCCCCACTGCCGGGGTTAGTGCTGTGCACCGTATTCCTGGCCTCTATCTCCTTGAGTGTTGAGTTCAGGCACGTGGGGTTAACACATGGGACAGAGGAGTGGTGCTTTCCCAAGTCGCACAGGGAAAATGACATGGAGGTTTACAAAATACTTTCACCAAGTCTAACAGCATAGGTGTTACCTGGAAGTCCCAACCTAATTTCTGCTGTTTCTAAACAAATCTAATTATAGATGTCTTTTAGTTTCAGTGAGCTCTGGAAGAGGAGTGCCTTGACAGGACAGTCACGAAGCAGCTTGTACTTGACAGAGACTCTCAGCACAAAGTAATGTCGAGAAGCCATGTCAAAGCCGAGAAGCCACTGGGAGCAGGGGTTATCCTGCAGTATGTAGCATCGTCAGCATATGAGTCACTCTAGACAACCTGTTCAATTCCTTTATGTATGTATGTATTTATACAGGTACCCACAGAGGCCAGAATGGGGCGTCATATCCCTTGGAGCTAGAGTTCCTGGTGTTGTGAGTAGCTTGATGTGGGTGCTGGGATCTGAACTCCAGTCCTCTGGTAGAGCAGTGAATGCTATCTCCCCTCAGGTACAGGGTCCCCCTATGTAGCCCTGGATGCCCTAGAAATCACTGTGTAGACCAGGTTGGCCTCTAGCTTAAAGTAATCTGTTTGCCTCTGCCTTCCTCATGCTGGCATGTGCCACCATGCCTAACTGCTGCAAGCATTCAACTTCTGAGGTTTTTCTTAAGTCCCCTGTTGAGTGTTTTACATGTGTGTGAACACATGAGACTTCCTAAGACATGTCCTACTGGGTGAAGGTGACTTTCATAATATAGTCTGTACTGCAATGCTGTCTTAAGGACCTAGGATTTGTTGTTGTGTTACATTTTAACCCCTCACAATGCCCAGAAGGACCATAGCTGGTGCCTCTACTAAAAATTAGATCAAGGTTGCTATTAAACTTCATATTCCTTTCTAAGTAGTTTTTTAATTAAATAGACTTTTTTTTGGTATGTGTGTTTTGCCTGAATGCATGTGTGTTCCACATGCATGCAGTGCTTGCAGAGGCCAGGAGAGGGCACTATGTCCTCCCAGAACTGGAGTTACAGGAGGTTGTGAACAACCCTAGGAGTGCTGGGAACAGAGCTCAGGTCCTTTGCAAGAGCACCAAGTGCTCTTAACCACTTTTGTTAACAATGATTCAAGTTTTATTTAAAGAAAATGATCACCAAATTAAGCCTTTGTAATAAACGTGGTCTCCCAAGAGAATAGTGTTAAAGAGAAACTCCCATCAGTGTTAGAATAGAGTGAGCTGTTTGAAACCACTCATGGGTTGGGGATATCACCCAACATGCCCAAAGCCCCAGACTCAAGAAGCGAAAATGAAAAGAACAAAAGGCATATAGTAGCTTCTCATTTTATTCGATTAAGGAGATATTTTGAACATTTGAGCTTTTTAATGGCTTTTCAGCCCAAAGTCAGGTTTTTGAGTCATAGAAATTTGAATAATGAGTTACTTGCTCAGTTTTTGTTTGGTTTATAATTTGAAAAAAAGTCCTTCTCATTGAAAGTATTATTGTTTGAGGGCTGCAGAGGTGGCTCAGTGGTTAAGAGCACTTGGTGCTCTTGCAAAGGACCTGAGCTCTGTTCCCAGCCCTCACAGGGTGGTTCGCAACCTCCTGTAACTCCAGTTCCGGGGGATCTGACATCCTCACACAGACATACATGCAGGCAAACACCAAGATACTTCAAATAAAAATAAAGTAATAATCTAAGGAAAGAAAGACATAAGGAAAGGAAGAAAGGAAAGAGTCATAGTTCGTCTTTTAGATATAGCACAGACTAAAACTGAACCTGGGCCAGTGTCCACAAACCTTAGCGCTGTGCTTGTGATAGTATAAGGTTCCTGTCAGGTGACTCAGCACCATGCTTGTGAGTGACAGTGTCAGGTGACTCAGCACCATGCTATGACAGTGTCAGGTGACTCAGCACCATGCTTGTGAGTCAGGTTCCTGTCAGGTGACTCAGCACCATGCAATGTCAGATTCATCAAAAACGCCACTAAGAAGTGCGTGAGGGCCCCAGTCTCCAAGCTTCTGTAAGTGGAATGCCATGGGTTTAGTGCAGTCCCGCTTTCTTTCCCAGACTTTGCCTCAACTATTTTATAAGAATGAGACAATATCTCACTGCCACTAGAAAGACCATGCACTCCCAGCCTCGTATGCTGAGCTCACTGTTAGTTATCCTGAGTTATGCGTGCAAGCAAGGCTGGGGCCTTGCTGATCACATTACAAAGTTCCTCCAACAACAGCTTCTGATGGAGGACTAACAAGGTAGTCAGAGAATCGATGAGGTAAAAGTCCTGTACTGTGCCACAAGAGGTACTATAAGACAGAAGAGGATCTGATGCCCTCTTCTGGCTTTACGTCTTACCGGCTTCCCCCAGCAGCTTATTCCAACGTGAAAACTATAGCTACAGCAGATTGAGCCTTGCAGTATTGAGAAGCTTGTGTGTTTTAAGTGTTTTTTGGCATCTGGCATTTTTTTTGTCTACTTATTTTATCTTCTTGTTTATCTGAAAAGTTTTAATTATTTTATATGTTTTGAAAGTTCAAACTCTCTTAGCAAAACCAAATATTTCAAATGAGCTCCATGTGAGCAGCAATCTCCTGCCCCCTCTCCTCCTTTCTCTGTTCCCTTTTCCCTCTCAGCCCTCCCCTCCCTCTCCCCCTCCCTCACTCTACAGAGGGCTGGCTTTCCCATAGATGTATAAATATAGCTAACTGTGTGAAAGTGTCATGTGCTGGGATTGGCCAGCATGGGTATTTTCCTAGTTTTGAAAAATTCTGTTTCTTTTAAAATAATGTACTTTATAATTGATTTTTTAAAGTGTGATTTATATATTTAATATATAGATAACCAAAATCTTTTCCATGAAGAATGCTTTGTAATTTGGAGGATACAATGGGAAAATGTTATATTCTCAGTAAAAGCAATAAAATTTTTAGCAAATTCCTGTAAGACCTTGTGATTGTATTTATGGAATTCCAGGGGCAGGGGGATTACCTGAGATGAACAGTCTGTTTTATGCTGTGTGTTTTCCCAGTGTGTTTGGATATTGCCATTTCCCAGGGAAAGGAAGGCCTTGACGTGGTCTAAAGGTTAAAAGTTCTAAGTTATGAGATGTATGCCCAGGATTTTGTCCATGCTAAGCAATGCTCTGCCCCTAGATACACCCAATCCCAGCGCTTATTTCAGTGAGTAGTGTGTTGTCCCTTGGATCAATTCTTCACCTGTGAACCAACTTCCAGAACTCCA